GGTTTAGGGGTTTAGTGGTTTAGTGGTTTAGGGCTTAGGGGTTTAAGGGTTCAGGGGTTCAGGGTTTAGGGTGCTTTGACAATTAGAATATGTTTTCTGATATAGGCTTTGTCTGGGGTCTAGGTGTTTGGAAAGTTAGAACGAGCTGTAGGAGATTTTGGTATCGCTACGTATAGGGACTGTTGCACACGGATGGCTTAGGGGCTTGGGGTGTAAGGGTTTTGGTTTCTGGGCATGAAGTTTAAGAAGTAGGCTTCAAGGTTTAGAGTTTAGGGTTTAGCATCGGGGCTTAGGGTGTCTCACTTAAGGAGCATTGGGCTCTCTGGAGGCCGGAAGAGCTGGGCTTCACCCTGAATTCCGAACTTCAAGCCAAAGCCCCGGGAGCGTCTAGAAAGTACAGCCCCCCTACAAGGGTACTTCACCGGAGCTCCTTTCCAAGGGCCTGGGTAGTGGCCCTCAAAAAGCCCTATGCAACCCTGTGCTAGGTGTCGATTTCAACAACCCCCAAATTCTTAATACCTAGGGCTCTATATTAAACAAGAAGGGAAATTACGCAAAATCATCCCGAACAGATACCTGGTATGAAACCCTAGAGACTACCCTTGCAGGCCAAGGCTGCCTCGCTTCGAAGTGGATGGTCACGATCAGGAAATGCACGTCCAGCGCTCCGTCAATTTCTTCGCCCCTAGGGCTTGGGTTTGGGGATTCTCTTGTTAAGAAATTTTTAATTTAGGATACCATAATAGGGATCTATAGTAAATAATAAAGTTTCCTTATTATGGTAACTTAAATTAAACCCCTGAACAAGAACCCAGTTTGGGGGTTTAGGTTGAAGGGCTTTAGGGTTTAGGGGTTTAGGGGCTAAGAGTTTAGGGGTTTAGGGGTTTAGGGCTTGGAGGATTGGGGGGTTTAGGGTGTCAATTGCTTCTCCACTTGGGCTCAGAGGTTCAGATGGAAGGCTCCGTTTAGAATTCTACAGGGTTCCTTTAAGGGTGACTGTGAGGGGCATTCTGTAGTACTTGCCTTGTGGGTACCTATCAAGGTCTAGAGTTTGGGGCTTTATGGAATGTTAGACGAGTCCTTTATACCTACTTGAACGGCTGCCACAGACAGATTCAGACAGACCTCTGGATGCAGCCACACAGAGGATCGATAACTAAACCCTGAACCCGAAACCCGGTGGACCCCAAAATCCGAACCCCCTCAGGATTTGGCAAGGGCACCCGCTTGTCTGAGGGGCCGGGGGGCCTAATAAGCCGGTCATGAGCGAAGCCAGAAACCCCAAACCCTAAACCCTAACACCCCAATACCCCTAAAACCCTAAACCGCTAACTCCGCGCCTACGTAGTAGAACCACAGGGCGCACAGGAAACCCGTCGTGAAAATCAACTCACGAGGTCCCCGCCCGCAACTACCCTCTCTAATAGCCCAAAAGGGAAGTTCTCTAAAGTAAGGTCCCTGATTAGGGTCCTTTTCCATAAGGGTGTCGTACTATATTTGAGACCTAAAAAGGGACCCGAATTTAGAGAACTACCCACGCACCCTCTCTTAAGGACCATAAGGGCTTTGTCTGTCTGTCTAGGGTTTAGGATTTAGGCTTCTGCAGACGGCGCTTGCTTCTGGGAGCTCGTGACCTGAGGCCTCTGAGTATACAATCTGTGCAACAGGATGCTTTCAATTACTGAACTGGTTCCCTGTTGGGGCTGTATTAAAAAACGATCATGTCTATTCCGTATTGGGTTTTGATTATAACAAAAATGTAACATTGTAGCCAACAAGGACCCAGGAAACGTAAATGGAATACAAGGGTTCTCTGCTGCAGCCGAGGCAGTGACGCTTCGTATTTCCTCTTCGCTGCTTCTGCCTTCCTTCGTCTTGAGGTCTGAGGGCTTAGGGTTTAGGGTTTGGGCGGTTAAGGGTTTGGGGTTTAGGGTTTAGGGTTTTGGGGCTTACTGTAGAGGGTTGAGGTCTCAGGGTTTGTGGCTCGGGTTTAGGATTTCGGGTGAAGGATGACGGTTCAGGGCTCGAGGATACGAGGCATCATCTGGTATTCCTTTGTTGGGCAAAGCGCTGAGACCCGAAGGCACCTTGGTAACTCTAGGTTTAGGGTTTAGGGTTATGGGGTTTAGGGTTTAAGGTTTAGGGGTGTAGGGGTCTGGGGGTCTAGGGTTTAGAGTTTTGGGTTTATATTTTCTGGTTCTAGTGCTGCTTCTACCACTACCACTGCGTCACGACACGACGACGACTTGCACCATCGTCCTTACCTTTCGCAGTTAGTCTTTTGCAGTTCCTCTTGCTTGCTCACCGTTGCACTAAGTAGTGGTGCATAGTGCCAAAAAACAACTGTTCCTTGGTACGTTTCAACCTTAGCCCGAAAAGTAACACATACCAGTGGTATTCACTGTAACTACACAACATGTAACATTCAAACAGATAGAACTGGGACCGTTATTAAGACTTCAGGCTCTTGCTGCGGATGGTGGTTGTCTGCTCTGCTGCTGTTGTACTTGTTGCTGTCATGGTGAAGAAGAAGAACAACATGATGGTGATGATGATGATGATCTTGATGTTGATGGCGATGGCGATGGTGCTGGTGCCGGTGGTGGTGACCGCGATGGCCTGAAGAGCTAAGCAATACCTGGGCCGTCAAGCAGCAGTCTGGTTAGCTGGTCCAGTTCCCCAGACCCCAGACCCTAAACCCTAAACCCCAAACCCTAAACCCCAAACCCTCAACCCTGAACCCTAAATCCTCTCGTGGCTTTCCCGGTCCAAAGGATCCTGCGTAAGGTTTGGAGTCTACAGCTCCCAGACGGGAGGATCCAGGAAGTAGGTCCCTTCTAAACGGGGTTCTTATAGAGTAACTTTTAGTATTATGGGGTCCCAAATCAGGGGCCTCTACTTTCTCTAGGTTCAGGCTTGCCGTCCTGTGGGTAGCATTGTGGCGCAGATCCGAAACCCTAAACCCGCCTTTTCTGATGCAGGGAGCCTTTGGCTGTTGGCACGATCCGGGGCCTCTTGGCCTTCACCGGGCTCTGCGGTCCCGGCGCCGGCTGTGATTGCTATAATTATACTTGGGTGCGGATCTCGGCGCACCTCGTTCCTCCAACAACTGCACGATGGTAAGGTGCTTGTGTCGAATTGCTGCCTTAAGAGGCAAACACATCTCTACATCAGCATTGGATGCAAGAAGTAGGGTGACAACTTCGATATGGCCTTCTTCACATGCCCGGCACAAGGGCGTCTTCCTCAAGGTCGGGCCGGTGTAGAACCTGGGTTCTCCCCATAAAAAAAGCCTTAATGATAAGGGTACCCTGTGGTTCCTGATATTTCGGCTTTAACCCTAAACCCTAAAACCCAAACCCTCTATCCTAAAGCCTGAACCCTAAACTCCAAACCCTCAACCCTAAACCCTGAACCCTAAACCCTAAAGCAATGGCAAAAGTGTACTACTCAGGAACCTAGGAACCCCTCATTCACATCAGCCCGGCTCTCTAGGAGTACTCGCGCCGTCTCCACATGTCCTTTCTCTGACGCCACGCAAAGAGCCTTCATTGCCGAGTTCATGAGCAAAAAAACTTTGCACTATTGGTATTCGGACGAGTTATACTCTCACCAAAGATATAGAACTGTACGAATTCAGCTACTAAGGAGCAGATGTCCGGGAGCCGTGGTCGTGCCATGGCATATTGGCATCGGCCCGATATTTCAGGAGCATGCGTACAACCTCCGAAAGGCCCTGGTCACATGCGATCATGAGCGGCGTGTCCTTGAGCCGCCGATGGCTTGCAAGAACTGGATCGCCTTGGGCTTCGAGCAATAGCTGCAAGATCTCCAAGTCCCCTGCCTTCCGCACAGGGCTCAGGTTCGGGACCTAGGATTTTTCCGGAGTCTCCGAACCTACTTCAGGTTAAGGGTTGCGAGTGTGGGGTTTAGGGTCTCGAGTTTGGGGTTTAGGGTTGGAGTAGACCTGGGAGGTAGGTAGGTCGGTAGGTAGGTAGCTTGGTAGATAGATAGATAGCTAGCTAGGTAGGTAGTGGGAAGGTCCCTAAACCCTAAAAACCCTAAACCCCTAAACCCCAAAACCCCTAAACCCTAAACCCCAAAAACCCTAAACCCTAAACCAGCTTTCGCAGCAACTTCTGGAACCCCCAAAGCGCCTCAGCGGCCTCATGGATCGCCGTAGTGCAGGCGCAGTGCTCTCGGTGTTTCCAGGGGTGCCATTCGTTCACGCCGGCCCTGGCGTTTAGAAGGGCTTAGGGTTTAGAAGGGTTTAGGGTTTAGGGTTTAGGATTTGGGGTTTTAGGGTTTACAAGGGTTTAGGGTTTAGGGTTTTAGGGTTTAGGATTTTAGGGTTTATGGTTTTAGGGTTTTAGGGTTTAGGGTTTACAAGGTCTGCCGAAAGTCTCCAGGGTAAATCCTTTTAAGTTTGGGCTTTCACCTATTTTAGGATCTTTCCAGGCAACCCCGAAACGGAACTACAATGGAGACTACAGAAAACCCTAAACCCCCAAACCCTAAACCCCAAACCCTAGTTTAGCTGGAACACCCAACAAAAAGCCCACGTCCCAAGACCTAACTGCAAACTGAACTCGCAAAAGCCCGGCTGAGCCTGGAAAAACCTCTATAATGCGATTTAGCGTTTAGGGTTTAGGCTATGTAGGGCTTAAGGTTTAGGGTATAGGGTTAGCCTATCTCAAGCCCCGCGCCACCCCTACAGTACGTCTATGGAAAGCCGGCACCTCAACCCCACACCACCGCCATCCACATACTCGAAGAACCCTAAAATCCGTAGATGCGCCCAAGGAGGAAAAAGAAGCCGTGATCCAAAGAATGGGAAGGCTCCAAAAGGCTACACCTTTTCGTCCCCAGTTTGAGAACCCCCTAACCCCTAAACCCTAAATTCCGTAGAAACCCCTTGGCAGACCCCCAACCTCGGGCATGCACCCAAAAAGACACAAAAAAAACTACAGACCCTACAAACCTCCAAGGAAAATCCGACCGGAGGAAAACGAACGGTCTTATGACGTGCGCTTACACCGTCTACACCAAACCTTGAAGACCCATGTGGAAGCCCTACACAAAAACCAGTACGGGCCTTGCGGCCTAAATACCCCCTGATACCCTCGAGAATACCACCGACTGCCCTTCATGAGCGTTCGAAACCATGAAACCGAAACCGCCTGACCCTGAAAACCAAAGCACCCTAAACCCTAAGCCCTGAAACCCTAAACCCTGAAACCCTAAAGCCCTAAACCCTCAAAAGACGGGCCACCTTGCATTGATCAGCATGCGGGCGAGTTCCACTTCGCCACGGCCGGATGCTTCGCAAAGCCCAAGACAGACTTCCTTTCCTTTTTGGAAGCGGTGAAAGAGGGCCTTGGGGTTACGGTTTAAGGTTTAGCACAGTTCGGTCCTGTTTTTCTATGCATGTCCGTTGGAGGATGTCGTAGGTCGGCTCTACCCAGGATTTCTGAAGAGTAGTTTCGGACCTTTCAGTCCAATGAAACGTCGATGTTCTAGGGGGTATGGGCTCCAGGATCGCCTGTTCAAGTTTCCTAAGCGAAAACAAATTGACGTTCGGACCTATGTGAGGGGATAGGTGATGTTCTGACACACGAGCTTGAACCAAGATGGAGGTGACTCGTGTGGCTAAGTGAAAAAAATCTTGCTCACCTGGTGGTTACCTGTAACTCTCTTTACCTACAGTTTAACAGCCATGACCCCTTAATTCGTAGGTAGAACCCATAAAACTGTAGGCAATTAGAGTCCCAGGTAAGTCTCTGTGGAAGTTGTTCTCGGAGAGCGGGAGTAGTGCGAGCTGTAGGTCCTGGTCAGCGAGTCCATCGAGGCTGGCGGAGTCCTCGAGCAGCGCGTTGTCGTGCAGAAGTGCCTTGGAAAGTGGCTCGGGGAAGCTCTGAACGCCTTCTTTTGGGGTTTGGGGAAGGACTGAACGCCTTCTTAAGAGTCTAAACCCTAAACCCCAAAGTTCTAGCATCCTCGTTACGAAGCATGGAGAAGCCCCCCAAAAAAGGGTGGCAACGTCCTAAGCCATCGAGAGCCGAAGTGCTTGAAGGAAGGGAGGCAGCCCACACGACTGCTGCAGATGCTTCTTGAGTTCCTTGCTGTCCCAAGCTTAAGAAAGGGGTCCCCGGACCCCTTCAGGGAGCATCCCACAAGGTAGATCCCTTAGGGGGTTCCTATAAAGGACCCGAAAGCAGTTAGGGTCCCAAATTCAGGGTTCTACTTTCTAGATCCTTCCGGGGGTCTGGGTCCTAATTACCCAGGATCCTGGGTGCTGGGGTTCAGGGTTGGGGCTTGGAGCATGCAGGGTTCTTCAGGGAAGCTGCCCAGGGCCTTAGGGGAGCAGTCCGGGAGAAGTAGACTTAGCAAGTCGGATACCAGTAAGGCTTACACGTAAGATGGCCCCAACTCGGGCAGCAATAAACCCTAAGAAACCCTAACCCCTGCAATACCCCGGCAACTATAGCAACTTGCTTAGATCCTCCAAGAGACCTCCACAAAGGTCTCAGGCTTTAGGGGTTTAGCTGCGCTAACCCTGAAAAACCCTAAACCCTGAACGCTACACCCTAAACCCTAAACCCTAAACTCCAAACCCTGAACCCTAAACCCTAGAACCCTGAACCCTAAACCCCCAAGTTTTATACCCTAAACCCTGAAGCCTAAGCCCCAAGCCCTAAGAATCGGAGCCGAAGGTTCCGCCACATTTTGAAGCCCCGTCTCGGCGAGCGAAACGGCGTCCAATCTCGCTCCCGAAAGCAGCCAGACGGTCAAAAGCTTCCTTGGCTCTTCTTGCAGGGGTTTAGGGTTTCGGGTGTAGGGTTTAGGGCTTTAGGGTTCAGGGTTTCGGGTTTACGGTTCAAAGTTGCGGGAGGGAAATTTAAAAGCTTCAAACATGTTCCGTCTCATATGCACCTTTCGACTAGTACTCTACCAAAAAGTCAAATCTCATGCTCAAGAAAGGCCTGGATTCTGCGGCGGCGTTTCCTCGACCATGGCTCTGTGTTATATATCTGGCGTCAGCACCCCTTTGAAGGCCGTCTCTGACCCGACCCCGACCCCTGGCCCGAAACACAAAGTAAGCCTGAACACTGAAACGATTGGAGATGCATAAGATCACAATCATGCGAATAGGAACGATGGCCACAGATTCAATAAAGAGGGAAAATTACCCTGAGAGGAGGATGGCAAATTCGCACAATGATCCTCTGCCTTCCCTACCCTGTCCTATGAAACCCTACCCGAAAGCCACTCCTCTGAACCCAGCTGGAGCCAAGGATCTCTTCGGGGGTGTTCAAATCCAGGGATCAGGCTTTGGGGATTTGGCTTTAGGCTTTGGGGCGATTAGGGCTTAGGGGGTTTCGGGGCTTAGGCCCTAAACCTGAACCCTAAACCCTAAACCCGTTAGGTCAAGAGCTTGAAGGTTGAAGGTTTGGGCTTTGCGGGATTGGAAGGTCGAGGGTTTCGGGTTCAGGGTGTTGTGATTTAGGGTTTTAAATTTTAGGGCTTGGGATGGTAGGATGGTTCTGGATGTTGTGGTTTAGGGTTTAGGGTGCTGTGGGTGTGTTTTAAAACTCCCCGCTTCCTGTCCAGCCGACTTTCGGGCTTGCACATCCCAAACTTTAAACTAAACCCTAAACCCCAAACCTAGGGGGTTGGGTTCGGGTTGTTGTGGTTGACCGTTTCGGGCTAAGCGCCTGAAAGTCGCTGGGCTGAGCGGGCACGAAAACGCACCCAACCGATACCAAGGCGTCGACATTCAACTTAGGGACTTCGAGACTTAGCCCTTCAAGCGTTTAGGGTTTAGGGTTTAGGGTTCAGGTCTAATAATAAGGGCCCTAGTACTTTGAATAGGGTTTTTTGGGTACAATATCATATAAATAGATTAAGGTGATTAAGGAATCCGGAAAAAAGCCTTGGTCACTAGTTAGGCTGCTACATGATAATAACCCCTGAAACAGTAAGCCCACATAGACTAGGGCTCATGATCCCAGAAAGACTCTCTCAAATCGCCGAGGCACTGCAAAGCATTCTCGTAGTTGCTCCGCTGTAGCTGCACCTGAGTTATGCGATGTCGAAATCTGGAACATGACTTGGGGGATATGCCATGGTATACTGTTCACCGCACTAGACTATAGAAATGAAACTCGTCGGAGGGCTCCGACATAAATCTAACTCGTCCTGCATATCAAGCTCCAACACCATTCAGACCAGCACCCTTGCAGAGTACCAGTAACAATTGCAAGCTAAGCCGAACTAGCATGCACTTGGCAGCTTCAGCGAAACCTGCGATTCCCCACAGGCCCCAGGTTACACATCCCCGCTAACTGTCCGAAAACCACCGCACCAAAACCCGAAAGCACGTACCCCTCCCCCATTTACAAAACACTAAAAAGTTCGAGCCGAGACCCCTTAAAACGGAAAGCACAAAACTGCAAAATCTTCAAGCTCTGAGCCCGAGAAACAGACCGGACAGTCCCAGAGCTCACTCCAGATGGTTGGAGGGTTTAGGGTTTAGGGTTTAGGGGTTTAGGGGTCTAGGGGTCTAGGAGTCTAGGGGTTAAGGGGTTAAGGGGTCTAGGGGTTTAGGGGTTTAGGGGTTTAGGCAACATGACTTATCAAGGAAGATGATTCAGAAACCCTGGCAGGAGGCTTCATCAAGATTTTCAGGGAACCTTTGGAGACTCCGAGCCGCAGCACCCAAAACCCTACACCCAAACCTCTACACCCTAAACGGCCCTAAACCCCACGCCCCCGAAACCCAGCACCCTAAACGCCAGCAACCTAAACCTACGCAAACCCTCAATTTCGGAGCCGACGCTTCGAAATCAAAGCTAAGGCTCGGACCATGGCTGCTGCATGCAGGCCCTTCGCCAAGCACCTGAGAATTAGGGGCGGCCTCGTCTCCCCTTAAGGGTTCCTTTGAAGGGTTTAGGGTTTAAGGTTTAGGGTGGGTGCTCTAGTATAGACCCCTAAACCCCTAAAACCCTAAACCACTGCCGGTAAAGGGGACCCTATGATAGAACCCTAGCCCTCCTTAAAGGGGTCCTTTAGGGTCCCTTTTTGAGGGTCCCTTCAAGGGGTTCCTTCAAGGGGTCCCTGATAATGTAGGGCTCTAGATTGTGGCCCCTTGTTTTCTGAAATTCATCAAACAGGCGCTACGTCTGGGGATTAGAGATGTTGAGGGTTTCGGGCTTGAGTGCTTAGGATCTAGGAATCTAGGGTCTTGAACAATTGTGGTTGGGTTGTGCACAAAAACTGCTTGTACATCATGAGCCTTCAAGAGAACGCTAAACCGCTCTCCAAAAATGCCCTGCGGCAAGAAAACTCTCAGCTCCTGCAAAGACCTAAGCTTACCTTCAAGCCCCTTTACAGGCCCTAAGTATCCCGAGCAAAGGCCTGGGCAGTTCGAGTTGCTTCGGGTTTTGGGGCTTTGGGTTATCAGGGGTTCTTGAGGTTTGAAGCAAAAGGTGCAGATTTCGCGTTGTGTGCAGGTCTTAGGTGTAGGGGTTTTGAGGCTTTGATTCAGGCTTTGTTGAAGAGGTAAGGTTTGGGATGTATTTGGGGCATAGTGTATTAAATTTTCGGGTGTCCGGCTTGGGGGTATGGTATGGTATGGTGTGGGGATGGGGATGGGGATGGGGATGGTAGGGTATGGAACAGGTACGGGGTCTGGGTATCGGTATGAGTACGCTTAGGAGTGCGGGTCGGGGATATGGGCATGGGTATGGGCATGGCGTGGTCTGGTATGGTATGGTATGGTGTGGTATGGTAGGCTCTTATACAGCTGAATTCGAATATTCAGTTTAGGACTAGGAGCTAGTTGATGCGGGCCGAGGGGTCAGGGTGTCTTCGGCTTGAACTCACATCTGTTTCCAGCTACTAAGCCTCTAGGGAGTTTAATATCGGATTTGTTCTAGTGTTAGTGGACTTAGAATTCGTGTCTTAGGGTTGGGGTGAAGGCTTTTATAACTTGGGGTTTACCACTGCATGCATGGGCTTCGGGTTGTGGAGAATCTTGGGATCCGAACAGAAAGGCTGTAAGTTGTCAGTAAGCTCTCTCTTTGGGTTTGGACTGTAGCAGTTCTGAGATTCTTATTGGAGGTGCATCGGTAGGCCACGGGGTGTGGGGTTCAAGGTGACGATGAAAGAAAGTCCCTGCAGCCAGAGTCTGAACCTGCCAAGAGAGCAATGCTCAAGTCTTAGACCGTGCAAAACCCTAAACCCTAAACCCCTAAAACGCTCAACTCTAACCCTAAACCCTAAACCCT